AAAAACTCTTTGCGTGTTATGCTTCACTCTGGACTTCTGTAATGACAGAATACCCATTCATATCACTTTGAAACAGTTCTTTCCCTCATCTGTTGCAATGCAGAATACATCATTTCTCTCCTCCTTCTCTGTCTTCCCTCAACCCTGATGTCAGTCCCTATGCAATAATTTAATATTATGAGTGCAATAGAGGCTTTCTGTAGTATTTTTTCATTCATATACTTTGCATTTCACACGTTCACTCATTCACATTGTGTTTCACACACTCATTCCCATACCTTGTGTCTTATAAAATTAATCACCATTGATCCATGCCCACTATTACCTCCTCTTTTTCAGATCCCACTGGATCTTTCCTGACTCCTTCATCTTCTTCCTCTGCCCACCAAACTCTGCACCCTCCTGACTTCCCTGCTCCCCAACCCCATCCCTCACCAGCCGCCCTACTCCTCCCCTGCCTACTTTGGACATTCATGCACATGTTCACAGCTACCCTTCTATTTTACAATAAGGTCTTACGTGGTAATTATTTGAGCAAAAGTTTACAAATCATGTTGCGTTTTCCCTTAATCATTCAACTTCAGCTTGCTTTATAACATGAATTAAAACTGTTAAGATTTTGTTTTTGAACTTTAAAGTACCAGAAAGAAACGATTTACTTACATTTCTCTATCATTGGTTTTTGTTCGTTTTACAAGAGTGTCTTAAAAAGCACTACACACTAAAGAAGAATATAATAAATATGGCTGAGTGACAGAAGTCAGTCACAAAAGGGCAACTGGGTGTAAAAATCATTATTATAGACAGTTAAGGAAGTGTTTACACACAGAACAAAATCATTCTTGCAGGGTTAACAGGAATGAGAGGAGGGAGGGAGGAGTCAAGATTAATGAACAGACAAGTTGGTTGAATGGCAAAGCAATACACATTTAAAGATGTATCTAGGCATTACAATCAATCAGAATAAATTAATCAATGGTAATCAATGTTATAAAACAAAATGCTCATGAATTCCAAAAAAATTATTATGATTTATAAAGTTTTACTCAAATGAAAAAACAATGTTGTTGTGTACTGTAGAGTCTGAATCAACCCGTAGCTGACCCTCTGGCAGGTTTTCAGAGGCAGTTAATCACAAAAAAAGAGACTGCCCATCCTTCTTCAGAGTAGCTGGTGGCCTTGAACCTCAAGTCTTTGGGACTGCAGGGCAACTTCTTTCCACTAGGCTCCAAGTTTTAAAAAAATTACAAAGCAATTGTTATTGTGCAGTCTAATGGACGCCAACTCCTAGCAACCCTATGAAAAACAGCTCTGAACTTTATTCTGAGCCATCCTCGCCGTGTGACACTCTTGACCCCACTGCCACAGTCACTATCTCAACCCATTTCAACCACGGTCTTCCTCTTCTGCGCTGCCCTTCCATCCCTCTAACCATGGTGTCCTTCTCCAAGGACATGCTCCTTCTGACAACATGCCCAAAGTATGTGAGACAGTTTCAAATTCCAAGTCTGAAAGGAGCACCTTGGATTCACCCTCTCTAGGACAGATCTGTTTCTTCTCTTGCAGTCCACGGTATGCTCAATATTCTTCTCCAGTACAACCCAAAGGCTTCAATGCTCCTTCTGTCATCCTTAGCCAATGTCCAACTCTCAGATGAATAGCAAGCAGCTGATAAGACCATGGCCTGGATCAGGTGCACCTTAGTTTCTACACTGACATCGTTGCTTTAGCACTCTGGAGAGGTCCCTGACAGCAGGCTTTCCCAAAGTAACTCATCTTCTGATTTCCCGACTGCTGGGGCCAAAGCTGTCGATTGTGGATCTGAGCAAAATGAAATTGTTAACAACCTCAAGCTTTTCTCCATCTATCATGCTTCTGTTTTACTGGCCCAGTGGTGAGGACTTTCATTTTCTTGAGGTTGAGATGCAATCCATATTGAAGGCTGCAGTCCTTGATCATCTTCAGGCAAGTCCTTCTCAGTTTCAGCAAGCAAGGTTGTGTCATCTGCATAACACAGGTTGTTGATAGGTCTTCCCCCAATCCTGATGCCATATTCTTCTTCGTAAAGTCCAGCCTCTCAAATCTGTCCAGCATATAGACTGGAAAGGTATGGAGAAATGCTACATCCTTGGTACAGTCTTTTCTTGATTTTGAACCATGCAGTGTTCCCTGCTCTGTTCAGACAACAGTTTTTTGGTCTAGGAACAGGTTTCACATGAGTACAATCAAGTGTTCTGGGATTTCCATTCTTCTTAATGTATCTACGGAGGCTGTAAATTCTCCCATGGAGCAGCCACTGGATTTGAACTGTGTGCCTTTCAGCTGACAGTTCAATTCTTTACTATTGTAATTAATGTGGAACAAACTGTTCATGAATGATTGCCTGAAAAAAATCAACATGCTTTGTACATTTTCACTGAAATAATAATTTGAAATAGATCATGGACAAGTAGGAAGATAAAGTAGTAAGTAATGTAAGTGCCGGGGTCCTGGCATCACATTCCTTAGGGAATGGTGCTGTAATCCAATGGTGGTGCCCCTCTGGTGGTTCGAATCTACCAGCAACTCCACAGGAGAATGTGAGGAAGCACTGGAGTCAACAGGGCAGTTCTGGATTTCTTCTGTCTGTACAAAAACTAATACTGCTGAGTTGTGTCGTTATATTTGATGTTTATTAAACTATGCTTCTTTCCTTTATGCCATGGACAGGACATGTCATCCATATGACAGCATATAGCTCCCTTTAAGCATTAGCGGTTGCTTCCCAAGATGACTCTTCAGGTTAGCTAGACATCCCTTCATCTTTTGTTCCCATTTATTTATTTTCTCCTGTGAAACAACCAGGGGCAGGGGGTGGGGGAGGCGAATTCAAACTGCCAGCCTTTATGTTAGCAGTGAAGCACTTTATTCACATTGCCAACAGGGCATCTCATGCACAGGGGCATCTCTCAAAATGACATCTCTCAAAAGATGGTTTCTCCTCATTATTTTCACTTCAGCATTGCACGTTAGTCACCATTTGCCTCAGTTACCTGCCTGTGTAAGCTTCCACCTCTTGTACAGTCCCTATATATTACATTTGACCCAAAGACGTCTAACGACAAAATGCCATAAGAATAAATTTAATCCACTGAAATGATACATTAAGATACGGGCACAACCAGGGCAGGCTCTCTTTTCTCAAGAGAGAGGTAAATGCAAACAAACAAATGAGAAACCCATTAGTCCAAGAACCAAAATCAATGAGGCAGAAAATACTTGCTTTAGCTTGGGCTATCAAAAGGGAAGGGCTTCTCTTATGTAGGGATGTTTAAACTATGATGTTCAAGGCCAAATATCTAGCTACACAGAGATACAGAAGAAGAAACTGCAGACAGTAAGAAGAACAGAAGCTATCATGAGATACGGAAGCAATGGTGGCCCAGAGGCAAGAAGTTGTGCTGCATTCCCAAAGGCACATGGTTTGAATCCACCAGCTGCATCGTGGAAGAAGGAGGGGCAATCTCCTCCAGGACAATTAACTGCCTCTGAAAACCTGAAGGTGAGCTATGGATTGGTTCTGACTCGAAAGTACATAACAACAATAATATGAGATTAGAAAGACACACAGTCTCTTCCCATGTGATTTGCTGCCTCAGAGGGTCATTCATGAGTCTATTTCAACTGGATGGCAATGTTGTGAGTTGATCATGTGGTCGATTACACATGTGTGAGGACCTGAGTGTGGTTTGGAGTGGCTGACTACCAGTACGAGGCAAATGCAGGTGAGAGGAGGCCTCGGAGAACAAGGCCAAGGCAGAGTCTTAGAGCTTGAGCCTTCTTCATCCCTCCTGTTCCGTGTCTACTGCTCCTGCTACATGTAATCTTCTTTGTTCCCTTGGTAAAAACTATACCTGCCCAAAGGAAAATGGTAGAATCCTGCCTTTAGTGCCCAGTAAGGATGTAAATAGAAGATGCTTGAATGAACAGGTCATACCAATGCAAGAAACCCAAGTCCTGTAAGATATTCTGAAAGTGAAAGGGGGTTGGGGAAAAGGGGTATGTGCACATGTGGTAACCATGGCTTGGGCTGCTAGGAGAAAAGGTTTGTGCAGGAGAGGGTAAAACCAGGCTGCTCCTTGGAGGCAAGGATTCTGACACTTCGTCTGACATACTTTGGACATGTTGCAAGGAGGGACTAGTCCCTGGAGAGGGACATCATGCTAGTGGTGGAGGGACAGCACAGGAGAGGAAGACCCTTGATAAGATGGGTTCACTATTCAGTGACTGGGGTGATGGAGGTAGGTGTGTCAGAGACAGTAAAGTTGGCTCAAGATAAAGCAGGATTCAGAGCTGTTGTAGCTATGAGTCAGGCACAAGTGACTTGATGGCATATAATAACAACAACTCAGACAGATTTCATAGAATTTCTTTAGACCAAATCTTAGTGTTTCTACCAGAGTCTGTGCTATTTTCTAAATCTGAACCTGTTAAAGAGAAAAAAATCTTCCAAATTTCATTAAACTCATTCCTAGAGTTTGAAACTAAATAATGTCAGCAAGTAACAGCTTTGCCATTCCTGATTGTGGTATGCTTGTCATTAACATTTCATTTTTGAGCTGAAGCCTACTCCCTAAAATACCTCAGATGATGGCACAGAACTGTGCTACCTCCCCCATCCTACCACACAACCAGAAATACAGGGAGATGGTAAAGTTATGGGTTGCAATGCTAAAGGATCACATATTAGGTTATAAATAATATGTGGTAATAACAACACAGGCTTTCCTTGTATTTTATTGCCTAATAATTAGCTCTACATTTGCAGATTGGGTTTTTTGTTTGTACTACACAGGGCTTCAGCTCTGGTTCTAATTATAATATCATTATCCAGAAAGGCACACACACTGACTCTGACACAGTTGAAACAAAGCTGGCCAAATAGCAATTTCAGACTTTAACACCATGCAATTCTGCAAAGATAAATAAAGTAAGTTTCTTTAGGAAAAAGAGGAGCTTACTGTGGCCTGGAAGCTTCAGCCTGGTCTGTCTGCAGCTTTTCTCCTCCTTCCACTTCCATTGTACAGTAAACAATCCGATTGGGAGCCACAGACTTCAAGCCTTGCACTTCCATGATGACAATCTAAAGCAAAACAAGGTATGAGATGTGTCACATTGGCAACAATTAATGATATAAAAAGATAATAGCCAAAAAAAAAAGATAATAGCCATGACCATGAGGACGACCCACTGAGTGCAGTATCTTGTAAAGCCAATGGTGCTCCTTTTATCTTCTGTAAAGCCCACCTCCATTCATTGAAAGTATACCAGTTCCTCAAGGAACTTGGATATGCAAAGAAAGAGCTCCGCCAGTTTTTTTTTCTATATTTTATTAATTTTCATAAACATTTACAGAGATTT